CAGAGAGAAGCCATATTTAGTCCTAGATTTGAGATGAGGGTTTGAAGTAAAGTGCTGATGGTAGTCATTGAAGAAAGTCAGCTGTAGATTCACCCAGAGCTCATGGGAGCTAAGATCAGGCCTCCCCTTGCTCAGTGATCCCTCTCAAGGCCATTGGAGGAACTCTGGTAGTGGTTTGTAAAATTTGAAAAGATATTTGTACCTTCCTTCTTCCCCCAAGTGATAAATGATGTGTTTCAGGCCCGTGGAGAGAATCGTCTGAGTTTTGAGGGCAGCAGAGTGACGGAGTTGAAGATGACTTTTGAGTTTGGGTCTGACTGACTACGGGGAACCAGAGATGGTCATCGGAGGTGTTAGGAGAGGCCAGTTAGGGAGCAGTGTGTCCAAACTGAGTGCTCTCTGCCAAAGAAGGCCTCTCCTTTTGGTATGTCTTCTGTATTTGGTAGAGCTTTGTTCTTCTGGACTATTTTCAAGTTGTAACATCGGTTTTTGGAGACCTCCAATAAAATGGAGACATTTTATTGAGGCAGAAATGGGAGGAATGCTAGTGTCAAACCATCACGTCAGTATCCAGTAGAGTACTTAATGGAGAAAGCTATCCTCAGCATTCACTTCCTCTACTTTAAACAATGAAAACATTAAACAAATAGCTTGAGATCAGCTAGCAAAATTGAAGGACACTCTCAGAAAGCCATGTTGAATATTTGAGTATTTCCATTTTCCGAATCACAAAATATAAATATGATTAACATAGGGGCATGAGTTTCTTTTCAAAATATATGTAGAGTATATGTAAGTGTGTTGCATTTTACAGTCTTTAAAATTTTTTTTTTTTTTTACTTAAAAACAAAGCTCAAAACATAGTAAGGCTTGAGGCAAATGTCCCCAGGGAAAGACCATTAAGAAATATAGACCCAGTCTGGTTTAGAGTTCTATTTTAAGCCATTCATTGTTTTAAGAATCACTGCCTGTGTGTCAGTGAGATTAAATTATCTGAGTACAGAGGTACAGTTGCTTCTGAAAAACTTGCTTCTAAAAACCACAGATGCTGTTTTTCATAGGCTTTCAGGATTTAATGACCATAAGATTTAGTTTTAAAACATGATTTGGAAGTATTTGCAGATGAATTCTAAGAGGATTTTATTTCCTTTCCTTATGTTGGTCAGTATTCCTTTATAAAATTAGTACAGATTTGATATTTGACACATTGTTTGCCAGTATGGGGTGTACAAACAAACACTTTAAATTTTAAGTCTTATATATTGTAATGTTCATTTATGCATAGTGATGATATAAAATACTTCTACATTAAATTGATATAAGTGAAAGGAGTGTACCCATTTAAAGAGACATGGGATGGCATATGTGGCAGAAGGAAGGTTAAAGAGTGATTAATTGAAATCTGGGCAATGTCAGTTTCTTGGTCAGCAATATAAATTATGCTGGGGAGTAGTAGTGTCACTCTTCGTAAGTTGTTAAATAAAACCTCCAATTTATTGATAGTGTGAAGTTCAAATCCTGGCTCTCAAGAATCATGTATTTAAGACATGAGTCCTTGTTACCTGGCATCAAAAGTAGAAAAAAATGACTTTAATTGACTGAGTCATCCTCAAATAAAATTAAGAAAGTATGTGTGAAATGTTTTTTATTGAGGAGGTTTCTAGGACGTCCTGGCAAGGGACAGGCAATTTTATGAGTGATGTATGTAACCACTCACTAAATTGCTGTGGTGTGCCAAGCACTGTCTGTGCAAGTGCTTCTGCTGAGTTGTACCAATTAAAAGTTTGGGAAAAGTCTCCCCACTGGGTTTATAAATACTATAAATATTATATATACACATATATACATGTGTATATGTGTATATATGTATATATTCTCCCCTAGGAGCAGATTAAGAAAAATTAGAATATTTATTTGTGAAACACTTTGAAATTGGTTCAATTCAGAAAATATTCTTAAAATATTAGGAGGTGTGGTAGAAAATTTTAGAAAAAGGGTATGTTTTACTTCCATAACTGACTTAGTTACCTCACATTTAAAAATGCATACACGTTTGTACAAAACACAGTGATGGGGGGTACAAAGTAAAAAGTCCCCTTTCTCCCTCTCATCTTTCTGCAGCCCTTGTCCTCAGAGATAACTACTGTTAACAGTTTGAAGTTACCTAATTTTCAGAATCAAGTGTAATGGCAGGTAGGGACTTGGAAGAGTCCTTTCTTGCAGATTTTTGCAGTTGGATCTGTGTTCAAATCTAATTCCATTACAGAGCAGCAATGTGAGTTTGGAAAGTTCCTTAATTTTTGGAGCTTTAGATTTCCATCCAAGTTTCAGTCTGGCCTTGTTTGTCTCTTCTCTCTCTGTCTAAGAAGATCTGGCATAGGAATGCACCCCATATTTTCTCCTGGAGCAGTGGGTTTGTAGTTCACCATCCAGTATGCACGCATTCACTCACAGTGCACTCACGCCTGTGAACAACTTCGCTCTCTCATGAGTACCTGCCTTCAGGCTGGGAAAGGTCAGCCTGTGACAGATGCCCCAGGCATCTTCCTGGGATTTCGATGGTCTCTGTTGGGTTTCACTTTGCACTTGTACATAATTTAGCACTGGGATAAAAATAAAAACAAAGGCTCTCAACTTACAGTGGGAGAACATGGGTCACGTGTGCTAAGCCATGCAGGTAAGATGGGGACAGAGCCCTGTGGGGTGGCCAGGCTAAAGAAGTATTTCCTGGGGACCAGTGACTCCCTCCTGTAGAACCATTGCCTCAAAATTAAAGGGAATTACTGTAATTGCTTCCGAGGAGGGAAATGTAGTTTGGCTCTTCAAAGGTTGTTGGTTGTATAAGCTTTAATTAGCCAATGAGAACACAAGCTTTGTACAAGCAGCTTTCTCTTTTGACACCCGTAGTCAACTTTCAAATGCGACATCCTCTTTAGCTTGGGAAATAGTTCATTAAACCACCTCTACTAGCTCACCTGCCCAGGAGGGAACCATCGAAGCATGTTGTAACGTCCACTGCAAATAGTCCTCAAAGCCAGGGTTGACTTAAATGGCTTTTGTAATTGAGTCACCACGAGAACTGTGATTCTGGGTGGATTCAGTGCCTGGTGTCTAGATGCCCTCTTCATCTAGGTGTTTTGTGTTTCATTCACTTCTGGTGTTTTGTGTTTCATTCTCAATTCACTTTGGTTGGAGTGTGCTTGATCAGGCGTTCCCTTCATTTGCAAGTGAATAGGAGACTTTGTTAAGGAAGTCTGGTGTATTTTTATCTATTTATTTTAATTGGTTCTGAAGTTATGAAGAAGTAAACGCATGTGGTCTATCGCTAGTGGAATAGCTTACTGCTCAAAGAAACTTCCTTCCCAGGTAGAGGTGACCCTACCTTGCACAGACAGGGGTGCTATCCCTCTGGTAATTGAAATGTAAGGGACTGATGTTAGGACACTTTAAGAAAATAATGCCATTAATTCTGAGCAGAGAGGATTTTAGGGATTAAATTAGACTCAGAGGACCAGTGCTCTCAACCTGGAAGTAAAATATTGAATTGCAGTTGGAGTAAGCCCAAACCCTGCCATGTTTACATTGTTCTTCACATTCTGGTCACTGCTTGGGTTTTTCCCTTCTCCTTCCCTCCCCTGTCCTGTCCTCCCTCCCTGCTTCCCCCACCCTAGCCACACTAACTTCTCTGACCTGCTCACAGGCTCTTTGTCACCTCAAGGACCCTAACCCTGGCATTCCCACTGCCCAGGAAGCCCTTCCTCCTTCCCTTGGCTCTGCCCATGGCTGTCATCCTCTGGATCTCAGCCTAAAGCACCCAGAGATCTGACCTGACCTCCTTGCCTCAAGTAGCTCCTTCCGTTCTCTCTCCCAGACCTGATTATTTCTTCTTCAGTGGACTATTTAGTTTTGTTAATTATCCTCTTTGCTCCACACTAATGTAAATTCTATTAAAGGGAAGGTGCCAGTTACAGTGCCTGGCATATGCTGTATAGGCAACAAATTGACTAATGGAAATTGACTGTTTTCTGGTGGTCCTCGGGGTTGAACTATGGGCTGTACCTGCTAGGCAGGCCTGATACCACTTAGCTACTCTGCTAACCTGTTTCGTGTTGGTTATTTTTGAGGTAGAGTCTCATTTTATGCCTGGGCTAGCCTGGACCGTGATTCTCTTATCTGCTTTCCGGCATACCCGGAATGACAGGCTTGCACCACTGGAGCCAGCCACTGGTTGAGATGGAGTCTTGTGAACCTTTTTCTTGGGCTGGCCTGGAGCCACAATCCACCCACTCTCTGCCTTCCGGGTAGCTAGGATTACAGGTGTGAGCCACCAAGCCCTGCTTGTTTATGGGTTTTAAGAGCTCCTTTTGGTTTGTTTCTTGTTTAAGAGGAGAGTATCATGGTGGAGTGAGGGGTTTAAGTGTCCCTGGTATGAAGAACCATGCCAGCGTGTTTCCCGCTCTCTATCCTGGATACAGTTTTGTCCACTTCATTGTGATTTTTCTGCACATTTAGAGAGCAGGGCTAGCTGGCCTCGGAGCTGACAGAGAACTCGTTTACACCCCGTGGGTACTGTGCTCTCTGTGAGTTCTGAGTGTCTTGTCTAGCACTGAGTTAACTCATGGTACACCTTCTATGCAGGCAAGGGGGCCACATTGGTCTTTGGTGAGCACACGGTACCATGGTGGAGGTACACGGTCCCTGCCAGGTGTCCATTCAGAGAGCCTCCGTGAGTGGCCCTCACTGGCCTCTGCCCTGTCCTCTGACTCCATACCCATCATTCAGCCTAGGGCTGCTGCTTAGCTTCAGGCTGAAAGGACATTTCTTTTGTCGGCTTGGATGCTGTCACATGCATCAACATGTCAACATGCATGTCAACAGCATCACCACGGCAGTTGTCACTCTAAGTGGAAGAAGTGAAATGCAAGTTTGGTGAGTAATTAAATGAGCTTGGTGTCATTCTTCGGTGGTGTGCTAAATGTTACTGTTTATATCTGTCTTAGGTGATCTATTTAAAGAAGACACCAGAAGAGGCCTACAGAGCACTGCTATCTGGCTCAACTCCCCCTTATCTTCCATTCAGGTATAACTGCTGGTGACACTGGGCTATACTTGGTTATAGAGCTTGCTACTTTAGAATTGGGTTGTGGGACTTTCAGTTGTCTTAAGACTGTGACCATTATTGTATGGAATGAAATGAGATGGTGCTTTTTTCCCCCTTCAGAGTCAAATGATAGTTTTAATTTTACAGACTTCCCTTAGCTAATAAGAATAAAATAGCTTTCTCCTTTTAAGAATTTTTCCCCTCCCTTGAGTCTTTTTCTCCCATTCCCTGCATGGAGAACAAGAAATACTTCTCTTTCTTTCCCCCTACTTCTCTGTACTTTATCCTGCTATACTAAAACAAATCCTTGCTAAAATTAAAAAAAAAAAAAAGATTTCCCCCGTGTCTTTTCTGTATTGCAATATTTACTTGAAGCCCACAGTTCAACTTCAGTAATGACCCTCACTGATCCACCATCCATGCTTTCTTCATTCATGAGCATAGGTCAAGTTCTGGCTGCATGTAAGGGGCTGGAATAAGACCATTCAATACCTTCCAGAACTATAGGTTTAGTGTGGACCCTAAATTTCCTGTTTAGCACAAGTATCTTAGGAAGCCTGTCTTATTACATTGTTGGAAAAAATGTTACGTTAGTATTATCTGAAGAAGATCGTCAAAAATTTTGGGTAAATTTGAGCTTGTTTTAAAAGTAGAAGGGAACATACATCAAAATTCCCACAACTGGGTTGGGGGTGAAACTCAGTGGTAGAGCACTGATAGAAGGGCAAGCCCTGGGTTTGATCCCCAGCATCAAAAATCCCCCAAATCATCCTCTCCTCCCCCAACTCCCAAAAAACAAACAGAAACCCCCAAACCTTCCACAGTAATTCATCTGATTTGTGAATGAGTCTAATATTTTTGTCCTTTGCCTCTTTATGTGTTCAAATCTACAAGAGTGGGTTTGCTTCTTACTATTGCTTTTATAATCACAGTGAGAAGAGAGGCAGGGAGTGATGGAGAGGCCTCAGAATGGCAGAAAAACATGCTTTCAGTAAATGTTTGGGTGAATAAAGCAAGGGACAATCCTTTAAAACCCTTGGGATTCCTGTCTCTGTTTCTGAGACCACAGGAGAGACCCAGGGGGGACAGAGATGAGTGTGAAGGTGAAGAGGAAGACAGGGGTGAAGCCACCGGGCATGTGCTTAATCTTCCCAGGGGTAGACTGAGAAGATCCTGTCCTGAAATCTCAGGTCGCAGCCAGTTAGCCACTGGAGGGCAGATAAAAGTGAGAGATTGTGTGTGGGAGGGTTTTAAGGAAACGTAAAGCTCTTTTCCCCTTCCAGCTCTAATGGCTCATACAATTTCAAAGCCTTTGTGAAACACACTTCTGTTTTGTCAGGAAAGGTTAGAATGATAAGCTTAACAACCTCACCTCTAAGTGAAGGGGCTTAAGCGTACCTGCTTTTGAGGTAGAGACGCTGGGCTGGGAGCCTCATTCTGCTGCTTACTCTGTGATAAGCCTAAGCAACCTGGGTAAATGACTTATCTTCCCTGAGCCTTGGTTTCTCTGCCTGTAAAATGGCTGCAAGGCTTTTCTAGGACAAATGAGGCAATGCGTTTGCCCTTGTGCTTGGGAGAGTACCTGGATTTTGCTTTTTTCATAACAGTTATTGTTGTTGTTAATGAGAAATAAGGATTATCTATAATAATTATGAACAGGAATAGCAGGTGTTTCTTCTCTTGAGCTCACATTTTAGTAGAGCCAGGCAGTGTGAGCACAAAATTAGCAGTAAAAATGTTAGACTGTACAAAAATAGAAAAGATTAATTCTGGTGGATTTGGGGAAGTATGAGACCATTTAAGCAATGGATAAGGGTTTAGCAGATGGAGAATGGAGGGAGGATGCTAGATACAGGTTACTATTATTATTATTAGTTTTGGTTTTTTGAGATGGTCTCACTAAGTAGCCCAGGCTGGCCTTGAACTTCAGATTCTTCTGCCTCAGCCTGCTCGGTGCTGGGATTACTGTTATGTGTCACTGTGCCAGGCTCATTTCCTATCATTCTAAATTGTAGCTTTTTAGTTCCCATTGTCTCCGATGTATTTTAAAAGTAAGAAACTCAGAAACATTACTCTAGAGAGTAATGTTGCATAGTTGTAGACATCAAGAGGTAGAAATCTGTTAAACGATACTTATTATATGTAAAGAATACTCTTTGGACACCCATATCCTGCTAAAGTTTGACCTTGGATGCTGCATCTTTTTGACTGGACACCAGGAGTTGCATTTGCATTAAACAGTGTCTCCAAGTCCAGACTCTTCATAAACCAAGCATTTAAAACAGGAAACACCACAAAATGGTGCATTTAGTGAAAAATTTAGCTGAAGTAGGTTTTTTTTGAATTTGACTATGAAAACTTAATCTTTTCCTATGCTAAGCTAAGCTGTGAGTTATTTTTAACATACAGGCTAACTGAGGCTGTGGAGTGTTATGGGGGTCGTCTTCCTCCTCATTCTGGGTAACCCCCATTGCCTGGCCTTCATTATCACCAAACGGACTTCTTACTCCATTTGTCGTTAAGATACACTGAGATCTTCATCATCTAGGCTTTTTCCAACTGTTGCTATATTAGTAGTTAGGTGTAATTGTTTTATTGTTTAAAAATGTTAAAGAAACAAAGACTATTTTGAAGGCTTGCTGAAGATGTGTTTGGTAATTCATTGAAATGAATGTGTTCTGTATGCACAATGGGGCTGGAGGTGTGGCTCAAGTGGTAGAGTGCTGGTCTAGCAAGCATGAGGCCCTGAGTTCAAACCTCAGTACTGCCAAATATATACAAATATATGTATATATATGTAATAAAATAAAGAAGTATCCCACATGCACGGTATCTTTTAGCATCTTTCTAATGAAGGAGTCCTATGGCCACTATGAATTCCAACAGTGTTCTTCAAGATTTATTCACTTAGCAAACATTTATTTGAGCAGTTTCCTCATTTTTCTGGAGACGCTTACCAGATCCTTTGTCTGTAATTCCCTGTTACATTTTGTGTATTACCACAGTATACATGCCATTAAAGCAAATGTTTTGTATTGTAATTATTTGTTTGCATGGTTGACTTTTCTCTTGAGGGCTGAAATTGAGTTCCAATTTGTGACCCCAGGGAATAAGTACATTAGTTGATTGCTTTATTTTAATTAGGATAACTTGATACCTACTGCAGGGGAACTGGTATAGTTTGTATAACTGTAGAGACGTATAGAACAATGATGGTGCTTTACTAGAATTAGGGGAGAGGTGAGGAAGGAGGTTTATCTTTGGAACAGGGGATTGGAAGAGACATTAAGGGTAGATCATATAGGACGCTTTTCATGTTAGGATGAAAACTGAAGCATACCAGTGCAGGTGCTAATTTTAAGTTCCTTTCATTCATATGGCACAGTTTTTTTTTAAATCATGGTATGTTATGAAGGATATTTAATAATGCAGTATTTGCAGTACAGGTACGCTTATAACTAAAAAGTCGATCTGGTTTGTTTCTATTTGGAGTTACAGTTAAACTTTTCAAAGTATAGTTTTCTACAAATATAGTTAAAAAGTCACTAAAATGAGACAAATTTAGAAAGGATTTGTGTACCTTTATTGTCTATTCGTGATTAAATTACGAATAGTTGACTTTAGTGACAGTTGGCTTTCTGGCTTGGTGTGACATTCAGGAGTGTTGTGTTGTTACTGCTTGTGAGCAGAGTTTAGGGTGTTCCACTGAATCATAAGGTATTTGTGTCATAAACCGTACTTTCACTTGTACTAGGAATAGCCATTGTGTTCATCAAGAGTGACTCTGGCTGAAAACTAGAGGAAAAGGGTATTTTCCATCTACTTTAGCTCTTTCAGTCCATGCGCCCTCAGTGTTGGCTTGGCAGCTGGTCTGCCTGGGAACAAGGGCCCTTCAGTTCTGGGGGCAGTCAGCCGAGCTCAGGTTGCCAAGCTGGGGATGAATCTTTTGAGGTCTCTCCCATTCCGTATACTACCAAACTTAGTGTACACTATTGGCCAAATATTTTCCAAAGTCACATTAATTGCTTGCCTGAAGCTCTGCAAGACCACTGACCCTTCAGTGGAATCCCTGGATTGTTTTTGTGGCTATTCAAATTCACATTTTTGGGTACTCATAAACCAGTGTCTGTGCAAATTCAAAGTTTCACAAGATGTTGAAAGTTAGCTATTTTAAATCACACAACTCTGGTTTGAGATGCTTTTTGTGCTTTTCTTTATGTCATTTTACACTTACTTCCTGACTAGTAGGGGTTTTTGGTATTGGTGATAATTCCTAAATCTGCCCAAACCCAATTTTTCTATGGCATACAAAATTAAAGGCGAATAAAATGATGTAGACAACAAAGAATATCCTGGGACCCAGTTTTGAAGACATATCCAGAAATCACAGCATGAAAGAGAGTGATGAGGTGTTGAGGTGATGTGGAGATAGGATGTTGTGCTGCTCTCCGTGGATCAAAACTGGGTGAAGATGGATGTCCTATGTCTAGTTGTTAGTGGCATTTTTGGTATTTTGTTTATTTTTTAATCTCTTTCTGAGTAGGTTCTGGAATGCAATTTTGTGGGGCTATTTCTTTTGTTAAAGTTTGGAGAAGAGGGTGTAGCCTCTGGTTGTTATATCAGTGTTCCCAAAGTTATGATGGATCTCAAACTTGTTTGCACACGTGGGCATCCTTAAAAAAATTATTGATGCTTTGATTCTACTACCAGAAATTCCGATGTAATTGAATTAAGGTGAAGTCTGGATATGGGATTTTTAAAAAGTGCCTATATGATTTCCGTACATGAACACATGGCCAAGGTAGAAAAGAACTCTCTAAGATGTACCATGTGGAGAAATAAAGGTTCAGTGAGCAAATAAGTTTAAAACTCTCCGTCTTGGAGAGTTTTCACGCCTTAGAAATGTTGGCTGGTTTTGGGTAATGAAGTACTCTTTTAATTTTGTTTAACTCACAACTTTCTGAAGTCCTGATTCCTTT